GGGCGGGCGGGCGGGGCGTGGATGTGACGGGGTGAGCCTCTCCGGCGGCGACTGCCGGCCCTTCCCAACACGACACCCCTTCGGCGCTTTCCTGCGGCCGGAGCTGCCGGGCCAGCGAGCCGCCCCCAGCCCTGCGCAACCCCGGCCGGCTCCCTGCCTGGCGGCCGCTATTTATAAATTGCCCTGCACGCGAACGGCTCGTGTGAAACTTGCCAAACTTTCTTTCCCACAGTGACTTTCAGCCAATGGGAGCGGGAGGCACGCGGCCCCGCTCGTGGACGGTGCCCACCTATTGGCTGCTGGGCGCACCGACCGGTGGCCAATGGCGCACGCCTGGCCCCCGGGCACCAGGAGGCGCGCTGTCAATCACGCGGCCGCTTTAACCCTCGCGGCGCCACCGCCCCGCCCGGCCGAGGAGGGGACGCAGGTCGCTGGCCTCTGCGGGCGGCGGCGCCCAGCACGCGAGGATGGGAAGAGCGGCCGGGGCGCTTCCAGCCCTGCCCCGAGGGTCGCGCCCACTCCAGACCAAGTGGCCCCCGCAGCTGGACCCGAGTGGGGGGGGCACGCGTGGAAGGCCGCGGGCACAGCGGCAGGCAGGGGGCTTTCCTCCAATCTAGGGTGGGAGGCGGCCGGCGGGGCTCCCTCCTCGGCTCCAGCCGCCTGGCCGCCCGCAGATGCTGCCCCGGAGCACGTGCCGAAAGGTCTCCTGCAGCCGCCGCCGCCACCACCAAGGGCGAGGCGGGCGGGCGCTGTGCAGCTTGGCGGGCGGGTAGAGAAGCCGGGCACGCCGCCCCAGCCGCCGCCAGAGCCTGGGAAAACCCCGCCTTCCGGGGAGGGAAGCGAGGAATGCGGCCTTTCGGGCGGGCGAGGGCAGCGGGTGGCGGCGCTGGACTCTCCAGGGAGGGAAGGGCGAGAAGTGGGCTCCCTCGGAATGACAGGCCCCGGGCTCTGCGGCTGGGCCGCTTGGTCCTAGCGGGCTCTCGGCGGTTAAGTTTACCCTCCCCTCCCCCAGCTCCACGTTGGAAACGATCAGACGGGTGACTGTTTTTCATTCGAGGCAGCAAAACGAATTAAAATAGTATATGCCGAGCTGCGGATTTCAGGGGGCCCAAAACAGCGGAAGGGCAGCCAGCTGGAAGGTTGTTTCGGGGGTCCTAATTGAGCTGGGTAAGCAAAATGGAAGCATCGAGTCCTAGGCCTGGAAGGGCCCTTGGAGATCTTCTAGTCCTACCTCTCCCCCCCCCCCAGCCGAGGCCAGAGCCTTGCACTATCCCGGACCAATGGCTGTCCAGCCTCCCCCTGAAAAACCCCAGAGCTCTCGGCTCTACTGGTGGCCCAAGCAGGGCTCGGCTAGTCCAGGTGGACCGGAGGGGCCGATGGGGGGGGGAGGGGCGCTTTCTAAAAGGGCAATTCCTGAGATTTGGGGGAGAATGGAGGGGGGGTTGCTCTTTCCTGCTCCGCCTCTCAGCCCCCGTTAAGCAAAGCAGGGAGCCGGAGCCTCCTTTGCTCTAGACAGGCCAGGAATGAATCCAGGTCTCCCTCGGTTTGCTTCGGGGTCAGGCAAAGGGGGCCTCTGACTGCGGTGCCCCTGAAGAGGAAGCTCCAGGTCAGCCAGGCTGAGCTCTACTCTCTCCTCCCCAGTTCAGGAGAAAAAGAGGGGCCGACTTCCTCCCGAAAGGGCAGAAAGCACAGCCGGCCCTCTGGCTACTGCCTGGAAGGGGGCGCGGGGGGGGCGCGCAAGGCGAGGGGCTTTGGAGCATCTACAAACTGCCACCCTCCCCGTCGAGAGGCGCGGGGGCTCCCACGGCTGGTCAGGAACGCGGCGCAAAGGTGCCGGAGAGGCCGCCCCTCCCCACTGCAGTTGCTTTGAGGGCTGGCGGCGGAAATTCGGGTCTCCGGTTTCCTCCTCGCTGAGGGAGCGACCGCTGCCTGGCAGTCTTGGGATGTGAGCCCCAGGATCCAGCCTGAGGGCAGGGCGCGCACGGGGGTGGGGAGGGGTGGGGGGCCTGAGCTGGCCTTGGGCGCAGGGCTGCCCGACGCGAGCCCCGGTGCTGCCTGGCAAGCGATCCGAGCGAGGAGAGGAGCCTTCCTGGGAAGCTCAGCGGAAAGTCGGAGGCGGCAGGCCGGGTTCGGGTCCCTTCGCAGCCGCTTCTGTCTTTGTGGCCGATTCTGTGCCGACCGAGGCTGCTTCTGGACGGGGAAGCGGCCGCTCCCTTCCCTCCCTCCCTCTCTCGGCCGACTGCGGCTCCCGCGCTGCGGAGGTGGAGGGGCGAGGAGGGGGGCTTTTTGCCGGCGGCCATGGAAGCCTTTCCCCTCCCTTCCTTCGCTTGACTGACTTTCTCACACTCGCGTTCCCACCGCCGCTCCGCCGGCTTAGGCTCACTCCGCCGCCTTGCTCCAGGGCCCTCGCCCCGCTCCTCCCCGGCCAGGCTCAGCGCGGCCCCCTCCGCACCTGCCCCCTCTCCCCGCATCACCTGACCGCCCCTGTCCAGACCGTGAGAAAAAGGGCGGCGGGAGCAGAGAGCGCCCGCGGGCTGCCCTCAGTGAGGGGCCGGGCCGGACTTTGCCGCGTGCCCCGGAAATAGCGATATGCAGGCCAGCAGCTGGGCCTTTGCTACACCTGGGAAGCAGATGAGGGAGATAGGATGGAGGGAAGGAGAAAAGGAAGGAGAGAGCGAGAGATGAAGGAAGAGCGAGGGAGGACAGAAGGAAGGAGAAAAGGAGGGAGGGAAGGGCTCCAGTTCACCCACAGGGGCCTTGAGAGGGCCTCCTGTGCCCTGTGCCAGGGCTTTCTGCAGCCCCTCCTCCTGGGTCCTGTTTGGCCCAGCTGGGGAGGACTAAGTGTGTGTGTGTAGGGGGGGGGTGCCCTGATGACCTCAGGCGTGTGGCTGATGATGCTACAGGTGTCAGCTTGCAAGGGCTGCCTGGAAGCTTCTCCCGCCTCTCCTCAGAGCTTCATCCCCTTGCTCCCCCCACCCCCCGGGGGGGGTGTGTCTGCCCAGCGGCCTTGGAGGGCTCTTCCCAGCACAACCTCCTAGCCACCAGCTTGGTGACTGGGAAACAATTTACAATTTATCTTCAAAATAGTCCAGGCCCAGACAATGCAAAGGCTAAGGAATGTGAGGGGGGGTCTGGGCAGGCACACACACATACACACAAACACACACACACACAAACACAAACACACACGCCCTCAGTCACCATTCTCTGGGCAGTTGAAAAAAGGGCTTCAAGCATTCTGCAGAAAGAATGGCCACCCAGAGCCACTGTTTGGGGATGATGGGAATGGTAGTCCAACAGCTCTGGAGAACCCCTCCGAGGAAAGAGGGATAACACAATCCCCAGGGAGACTGAGCACTCCAGGGGTCTCCCCTGATCGTGTTCTAAACTTGGTGAATATTTGGGGGGGGGGTTCCTGAGTTGTGCAAACATCAGTATTCCTGGATTTAACCCCCAGGCAATTGTGCAAACCCGGAGGATGGGTTAGGTCAGGGGGAGCTTGTTGGTGGGCACGGGCCCTGTGTGCCAAGTCAGCTCTCTTGCCCATGGGTGTCCTTGGGGCAGCTGACCGGAAATTCCTCCCATGGTGGGCCTGGCCTGGGGGGGGGGTTGGGGAAAGACAGAGGACTATTCAGTCTGGGGCCCCTGGGTGCTACCCACCACCCCCAAACCAGTAGGAGGGCCCCAAGGGACAGCAACTGGGAAGTTGCTCAAGTGCCAGCCCAGGTGGGCTGTGAGGCTGCCACCTGTTGCTCAGGGAGGAACTTGAAGAGCAAATGGTGCCCGTGGGCACGGGGAAGGTCGGGCTCTGCCCACCAGGCACCTTCTCAGTGTGTGCATCCGGGAGTGCCCGCAGCGCTGCCTTCCTCGTTGGCTTGGCTGTTCTGGGAAAGGCGCCCAGGCCACCTCCTGTCTGGCCGTGGCCCAAGTGGGCACTGCTGCCGCTGCTGCGCCTTGTGTGAGCCAAGGCCGGGCAGTGGGATGCCAGCCAGCACAGCCCCACCGCAGATGGTGGGAAAGCGCTGCTCCGCTGCCCTCGCGGCGGCTGCCTTGGCTCTCCTCGAGGAGGCGGAGAGGGAGGAAGGAGAGCCGAGGAGGAGGAGGCGGGGCCGAATGGGGGAAGCCGAGCTCTGGGGTCTCCATCTGGTGGGCAGCCTCCGTTGCAGACTCCCCAGGAAATGCTGGAGAACCCCACAGTGGAACATCAGCTGGACAGGCGTGGCAGTGTGGCAGTGGCTCTGAACTGAAGCTGGGGGGAAGATTGCCCCGCCTGCACGCTCCATTGAGCAGGACCCCTGCTAATCCCTCAGGAGGTTGAGGGGGGGGCGTAGTGGGCAGCCAGCAGCACGGCCAGGGCTGGGGGAAACCTCCAGCTCTTCTCCCCTGTCTGGTGTCTGGCACTGGACGGGCGGGGTCTCACCTTGCCAGCTCCCTTCCTTCTATGGCCTCCAGCAGTCCAGCTCCTTAGCCGGACCCTGGTGGGATCCCAAGGCCAGCCAGCATGCAGACCCCCCAGGCCTTTGAGACGGCTGGGTCTGAGCCAAGGCCTTGTAGCAGAACCAGAGGAGCCCACAGGGGCCCCCGGGCTCTTCCCTGGATTAAAAAGGGGCCACAGTTCTTATCGGGTGGGACTCCACGGCAGGAGTGCCACACCTCTTGGGAAAATGGGGGAATTCTCAGCTGCCTGGCGTCCTGTTGTGGCGTTTCCTCTGCCCTCTGGCTCACCACCTTCCCGGTCGCCCACTCTGGAGCGAGCTTGTGCTGAAGGAAGAGAGCGTACAGGCAGCTGGCAGCTCTCCAAAGGATGGGGGATGGGATGGCATCCATCATCTACGCAAGAGGCAAGGCAGACAACCAGCACCTTCTCCACGGAGTGGGGGGAGCAAGGAGAGATTGCAAAACAATTTGGAGCGGGAGGAATCCCCAGGGGCCCTTAACCCCCTCCCCCCCAATGGAGTTTTGCCTGGAAAACCCCTTTTCCTGTCCAGGAAGGAGGAGGGAGGCTTTGCAAGATGTGGGGGGAGGAAGGGGGAAGAGAGGTGCCCACAGCCAGGTCTCAGTTCTAGGGCTGGACGGGCGCTCCTTGTCTAACCCTGCCAACATGGTATCTGCTCAAGGTCACCCTGTGCAGCCTTCCTGGACTCCCAGGGTGGGTCCTCAGGAACAGAAATCGGGGGGGGGGGCTCCCCTGTGCTTAGAGGTGGGAGGAGAATGGCCCAGAGCGGCCCTCTTGCCAAAGGCTCAGACACACCAGGGACTTTTCCTACTTCCCTTAACTGGATCCTTGGACCCAGAAGGCTGAGCCCCCCACCCCCCCCACATCTGGGAGTCCTATTGGCTTCTGGGAGGGTGGTTTGTGGGGAGTCCTGGTGCTGCCAAGCATCAGACGTCCCCGAAGAGTAGCCACTGGGCTGAGCTCTACATCCGTGGGGGAGATTCCCAAGTGGCCGATCTGGGGGGCTCGTCTGCATCAGCTCCTGTCCCTGGGTGAAGTGCAGGGAGCTTTCAGACATGCAAAACCTGCAGGGAGAGGGGTGTTTGTTGACTAGGGCAGGCAAAGAACAGAGGGGTGTGTGTGTGTTTGTGTGTGTCCTACAACATGCCCAACCTGGGTCTTTTCCTGGTTCAGCAGGTTGTGTGAACCAGACCATGGGACGCCAGTTGGCAGGTGTGAAAGCAGCTCCTCAACCAGATTCCCTCAGGGGTTGGAAGTGGAGATCAGTGGGAATCTGACTTGATCCTGGACCAGAGCAGCCTCTTCCCCCCTCCCTCCAGGAAGGATGCAGGAGCTGGAGGAGGGAGGCCTTCT